AAGAAACGGCCAGACTAGGGGACAGCAGAGCCTTCCTGACTTTATAAAAGCAGCCATCTGAGCTGCTAACATTTCTGTCTATATTGCATATGTTGCTTGGCACAGACAGAGGTTTCTCCCCACCCAGGAGCCCATGGGGTTTCTGTGCAGGTGTAGGGTCCACTCACAGTGAGCAGCTCGAGGCACCTGGATCTTTGCACATGGGGTTGCTTGTTACAATTCAATAAATATTGCAGAAGTAAATACGTTGTTTGAAGTTCTGTCACGTACCTTTTTGTAAATAATTATCACACAAATCAAAATTATGCATGAGTTATAATTAAGTTTGTCAGGAGCATTCTTTCCTAAGAAAGAACAAACTGAGTTAGCACAGTAATTCTTATCACTAGTATTTACATTTCTCAAGACAAATAAGAGCATTACTGAGTTTTATTTTAAGAGTGTTACTTTAAATAAAGCAAACAATCCAAAGGATCTCAAGCCACACAGGCTAATTATTATAGCATGTATGGATAGTGTTGAACGCCTGAAAGCTTGGAATAAGCAGCTGCCCTTCAGACAAGATGTGACAGTACAATAAATCAGACAGATATGGTCAGCCATGTCATATCAATCGATACCGGGCTTTGTTTGAAAGTACATTGGTGAATAATTTTGCCACAATTTAGCTTCCTAAATTGGGAAACTAGTCATACTGTGTGATTCATGGAGAGAGAGGGCTCTTCCAAAGGTGACTGATTGAGAACAAGACTAATTGAGGAGCTTTGACCTAACCTCTGGTGGAGCCTTTCTCACCCCAAGGACTAAGGGGAGCTACTCTTACCTTACGGATCCAACGTCAGTGTCTAAAACCAGCAGTGATTATGCTCCTCTCAAACTCTGTGATGCTGAAAAGGATTTAAATCAAGTCACTTGTGACCCAGGATTGAGGTAACCTTTGTCTGGAGGAAATTTTTGTTATGAGAACCTTCTTTTATTATTTGTATAGTCATAGCAGCAAAATGCTCCAGGGTGGGTTATGGCCCCATTGCCCTAAGTACTATACTAGAATAGCCCATATGAATTTAAATAATAATGCTGCCTACTTTTCCTTCTGGTAGAAGGTACTTCTTCTGTCACTTATCCCATGTTGAGAACCACTGGTACCACATATGTGGAAGTTATACACAAATGCAAGAGCACTCATCATTTCGACAAAATCTTGTTCTTTATCTATCCAAGAGCAATGATTTCAGTCATTTTATAAACAATTGATGGCTTCTGGGAGGATACTGGAAATTAAAGTTACCAAGAAATAGACCCTCTCATTGCCATCAGCAGAATTCAATCTGACTAGGTGGGATTTTCCGTTTATGTTGGCAGACAGAAGCATTACGTATTTGGACTGTTTATTCCGGTAACCTTAGCTAGCCTGCAGAACTGCAGCATTGCTCCTTTGATTAGCTCCATGCAAAAAGATCTTGTGAGGTGGAAAGATCTCCTACTCTTTCTATATTTGGCAGGACCAACTCCATAAAAATGTCCATTTTGCCACGCCTCTGATACCCCACTGCAGCTGCTTCCTCTCCTCATCCCACAGCGAGATATTAAAAAGTTTGGATGGAACCTTCTCCAAGTTTATCTGGATGGACAAAAAAGCCAAGAATGCGCTTGTCAAGGTTACAAATATCTAGGGAGCAAAGAGAGTTTTTAGTCTAACTGGCTCTTCAAAATATAATAAAGGCCTGCCAGCTGAAAATTATTAACTGCTGGCTGAGAAGGGATTGTGAGTGTATTCTATAGGAGACAGAGCAGGAATTATATGTACCTATACTGCTGGAATTCTTACAATACCATAATAGAGCCATCCTACCACCAGATGTGCTTATAATACTCTTAAAGTGCACTCTTAATATCTAGGCATTTGAGGCACTTATTTCATTTCATTTCGTCTTGTAACTCAGATTTCCTTTTTATGGAGTGACAGGATTAATTCCTTCTCTTGATCCATATGTTGTGATTTTTTTCATTATTATTTTTGTGAAAATGGCTTTCCATGAGGCATTTATGTTTGAATTGATCTTGTAAGTTGTTTCAAAAGTCAATTGGAGCCTTATTCTGATGATTGTAGAAAACTTTAATACCCTTATATAGCTTTTAAGTCTGGTCAGACATATGCTTTTTCTACAACTTGTTTAAATGCCAGAAAAGTAATTATGAAGTGTTAGTTGGTCAGTGCCTCTTTTAAGCTGCAGCGTATGGTTGAAATTATCACTATAGTCAAGAGGAAGATAGAGCTTTCTTAAGATAATAGGCTTCATGATTTATCTCACATCTTGGGAAATAATTGAAAGTAGTAACTTTAGGATGACCTGACAATACTTTCCCCTGATTATTTTTTGCTTTTCTGCCTTCTGAGTAATACGATGCTTGCCATTAAAAAAAAAAAAAAACAGTAAAACTGAATATGTTAAACAATTCTTTCCATTATGGGTTAGGTCTGCTCTCAAACTCTGTTTCTGAGGGGATACATTTAGTTCATCCAATACCCACTGCTGTTTTTCCTCGTTGTATTGTTTGAAGCAAGTTTCAGTTCTCTATGTGCAAACTGAATGGTTTCAGGAGAGAGAGATCAAGAGAGCTTCCAACATAAATAGGTCTACAGCCTATAATGGGATGGAGGTTATAACTTGTGTGTTCACTTAATTCGAACAAAGGAACTACTGCCTATCAAGTACCCTTTTCCGCAATGTAGCCTTCAGGGGAAAAAGGAAAGAGGGAAACTCTTGCAGAAATAGCAGTTTTCTAAAAATGCTACATCACTGGAAAAAGTGTTTTTGAAAAACCTATCATTAGCCTATGTTTGACTAATGAAAATGTATTTCATTTCAGTCATGAAAAATTTAGAGAAGGGACAGTGGGACAGTTTTCTTTCATATATTTAAGAAAGCTAATAAATATGATATCTTCAGTTGGGAGAGCTAGTAAAAGTAATAAATAAGAGTAGTATGTAAATAAATAGATGCTGATACACCACTAAAGAATAGTCATTCACTGTGCTAACAATGAAAAGACAGGTCCTGCATGAGAGTTCAGGTTCTTTATTGAAAAGATAAATACTAACCTCACACTAAAGTACTACTCCTGGATTAGTTTTTTTGAAGTCACTAAAGTAATACTGATGATATAAAACAAGTATGAAAGAAGATTCAAACCCTTCAATTCACTGCTTTCAGTTTTGGAAGTCTGCCATATGCCATAAAAATAAAGATCCCAATTCCATGCCTATTTACACCATTTTTTTATCAAAAAAATATATCTGATTTCAAAAAGAAATATTTCTAATTAACAACATTGGAAGTGACATCACTGTTTGGCTCAGCGTGGTTTGGAAAAGTGAAAAATAGGTCCAGATTTTCCTCTGAATCTTTCTTCTTGTTTTGGATAAAAAGACAATTTTTATGCTGTCAGTAATTTTTTTCCCCTCCTTAGGCCATTTTACAGGGGCAAGATATGGAATTGGACTCTACCAAGCTAGGAAGCTTAGAGTTTTCCCTTTCTAAGTAAGGTTGGCTTTTTGCAGGAGGGCAGGAAGGAAGGCAGGAAGGAAGGAAGGAAGGGAGTTATCTCTAGCAGGTCAGTTGTCACTCTGTGATAATCTGGAGAAGCAGAAAAGAATTAGATTAGATAATCAGAGAGACTAACTATAATTCTGTAAAAATTATCACAATGATCAGCGTAATGCATAGAACCGACATTATGTGACAGCTAGAAAACGGTGATTATTCCCATGACTTAAATGAATTCCCTGCACTTGTGTAGCACAGGCTGCCTTCTTTCCTCCAGAGACACACATTGTAATATTTTTCTGTCCCTTTTCAGTATGTTCGTGTTTTTTCTTTAATTATTTCCTTTAAAATATTGAACTATCTCTTCATTTAGTTATAACACTCCATCTGATCTTTAAAGAATAGAATTAAGAATTTATCAGGGAGAAAGTTAAATACAAGACCAAATTCACCATTGTTGAAAATAGGGATATGTTTTCTGCAGTCAGCTGAGTGATACCTGACAGATTTGCACAGTGGATTATTATTTA